CTCGTTATCACATTAACTTTTAAGTAAATAGTATGTTTTATCATCACAGTTATTTTATGAATGTATTAACACTTATATAGTTATCTTTAAATCCTATTGTATTAAAAATTTATTTCTGAATCTCACAAAAGTTATGGGCATTCTCCCCAGAAATGAAAATGTACATATACATAATATTTTCTAATATTTCTAATCATTAAAAAGATTTCTGCTAATAATTCTTGGAACACAAGATTTAAAAATTATTCAAAAGCAATAAAAATCTTTAAAAATTCAAGATGAATTTCATCCTAAAACCATAAATTCAATAGCAAAGCTACATATGAAATCATTTTACACAATGATGAAGCTATATAAATTCAAGATTCAAACAGCCATTTTCAGACAATACATTGTGGTGGATTTTGCGAATTATTTAACTGCTTTTTAAAGAAAATAAAATGAGTATTTGAATCGATTATAAAATTATAAGCTAAGAAATTCTGATCTTGATTTTAATGTTGAGACATCCATAAAGACAATGTTGCTGTATAGCAAGTAAAAGCAAGAAAATCCACAAAATCATAACATTTCAGTGGCCATCAAATAGCTGAGGTCATGTGTTACCAGAGAGAGGTATGTGAATTCTAGAGTGAAAACAGGACACTATTTTGGCAGAACATGAAATGAGGTGACAGTTATCAAGGTATAGAGGGACAAAATCAAATTTTAATGAATCAATTGTTTAAGGCCCATGTGTGGCATTATAACATTTAGAACTCTGGATACCTCAGACCCAGAAAAGTCTCCCCATTAGGCTTTTCACAGAAGGTTTCCCTGACTGCTCTTTAGGAAGGGAAAAGGCAGAAAAGACAGGAGACAGAAGACAGCCCTTTCTCGGTGATACATGTTCAAGTGGTGATTATCAGCTGCTGGAGTACGATGACAAAACATGCCTGTTTTGGCCTTTCCGCCACACGAAGCAAACATCTTCCTCTTTCTTGCTTGTGGTGCTCAGGAAACCGTGTGTGAAGTGTTGAGGAAATAAGCTGTGCTGAGAGAGAAGGAACTGCCTGAAAGAGTTCCAGCCTTTGTTTTCTGTCTGCTTCGGAACGTAGCACCTTCAGTTAAGGAGAAGCTGCCTGGGACAGCTCCTGCCGGGGTCTTGCTCCCCTAGAAGAATACTTTTGAGGGCTTTGGTCACGTTACACATGGCCCCAAGGAATATGAGCCTGGACACGCTGCCTCTTGGTTTCCTTCAGCTGTGGCGCTAGAGGAGTAGATTCAACCTAGACTCTGTGTAACGTTGACAGCTTTCTTGCTTTGTGAGCAAACTTACTTTGGTTCCTTGACTTCTGCTCATGGTTTCCCTGCCTATCTTTGAGCATGAAATCCACCTCATGCACCTTATTGTATAAGGGGATTTGTCTCAACACATTTACACTAGTTATTAACAATTGCATGGAAAACTGCATTGTGATGCATAAGAATGTCTGTAAATGAGTTGAAAACTTTATAGGAAGAGTATAATAAGAGATGAAGAAATACTGACAATCTTTCTTTTGCTTAGGTGCATATGGCAATCAAAGAACTCTAGTAGCTGAATATCCAGAACTGCCCTATGGCAGAGAAGGGTCTGCAAGGAACAAAATACAACAGAATATTGATGGTTCCTCATGCATGGAGGAAACTCTTCTTGTTCTCATGACATTTGACAAACTTTAAATCTAAAGGGCCAAATTGACACTGATGGTCTCAAGGACATTAAAATTCTGTGTTGCTCACACTGTATTGGTCAAAGTAATAAGGGACCACAGGTGTTAGGCAGAAGTTATTACTATACATTCTGAGGGAAGGTGAGTCATTGACCATTTCTAATCTGTGACATATAAAAAACAAAATTAATTTATTGTCACTATATACATACATATATATATATATATATATAAAAATATAGTTACAAATTAATAGGAAAAACAAAAAACAGAAACTTTAAGAAAAATATGGACCTAAAGATAAGCTTAGAACTAAAAGGAAGATAAATGTTTAATAAACCTGAAAAAGGAAAACATGCTCAACCACATTTATAAAAAAAGATATCCAAACTGAAATGAGTAGCTATGCAGGATATTAATTTTTTACAAGAATTTTTTAATTGCATCAAAGATAGAGAAAATTGGTGACTTTTGTAAAATCTCTAGACTTTAGTTGGCTGGAGGTTTTTCTAATATATATGATATATTGTATATGTTATATATTTATATAGAGAGGTAAAGTCCACAGTAGAATTTATAATAAGAGTGAAACATCAGAAATTGTGTAGTATTTATTAAAAAGTGGTTTAGTGTTTATAGTATATTCATGGAAAATATGAAAATTAAGCATTTTATATCTCAATGTTACCTATTTAAATATAATGGCTAACTCTATTGAAGAAAATATTTCCAAAGGTAAAGAGAAATGAATCATTAATTAACAAGAGAAGTATCGTCTACAAAATAGACCTTAGGGAAACAACAATACAGAGCTTTGCTCTTACTATTCATGTTGAAAGGATTCACAGCTGGGGCCAGGAATTGGCTCAGTCGTTCTGCCACTGCCTTACAAGTGCAAAGGCCTGAGCAGATCCCTGGCAACAACAACAAAAAAAGAAATGCACAACTGCAATCATGACCATACTTTTAATGGGTAGATTGACATGATTTGACTATTTCACACTGTATTCAAATTATAAACCTAACTAGTATACCATAATCAGGTATAACTCTGATTCATAAATATGTAATAAGTAAATAAATATGTAAAAATACTAAAAGTAGAAAAATTAAGTATGCCTTTTTGAACTCTTCTTAGCACAGCTATGACCATCATTAAATCATGGTGTTTTATCACGAGTGTCTTTTGTTCTGTATTATAACAATACTCTTTTGTCAACTCTGGAAGAGCAATATCACATCCTAATAACAAGGGCCATCTGCTGCTACCGATGTCAGGTTATGGTCTATCGGCAATTTCTATGGCAGCAGAATTAAGCTAACTCTGCTAAGGGCAATGAAGACATGATACAGTCATTCCTTCCAATATACTTCAAGTAATATAGTTTGGATCTTAAAGGTTTATAGTGATTTGTAATGCATATGAGCCCATGTAGCAAAGCTACATTCATCAAATGCAAGGAGATGTACAATTAGCAAACTCTTACCTTCAGGGCTTGAGCTGCGATTTATGCATCTACACATGCACTGCACACTTCGTGCTTCCCTTCTTTGTCCATCCCACAAACTATAAACCCAGACTATCTCTCTGACGCCGATGCCCGTGCACTATTAGGGTTTTGTGCCATATTTTCTATTTATTAGGTTGCTAAATGTATTCGGCTACCATTCCTGAAGTCTAATTCCGTCTCCACTTTATGGCTGAATAAAACATTATCTTTGCTCTTGGATATTGCTTTTGCCTTTAAACCATCCTGTCAGCCATTATGTTTTGAGGAAATCTTAACACAGTGTACAAGATTGTGACATATCCTAAAAACTGTAGAATCATACCATTTGAATTTAAATGCTAGCTCCAGGGCTGGGGATTTAGCTCAGGGGTTCGGTGGCCTGCACCTTGCAAGTGCAAGGACCCGAGTTCAATCCCCGGCACCAAAAATAAATAAATAAACAAACAAACAAATAAATAAATAAATAAATGCTAGCTCCATCACTAGGCTCCTTTCAACAGTATAAAAGTTCATAAATATTCATATTTTTGTCCAGAAACTCTCAATATACTAGTACCTGCCAATGCATTTTCCATAAGGATTAAATTATAAAATTAATTTAAAATGCTTAACAGAGTGGAGGTACACACCTGTGATCCCAGCACCCTGGGAAGGTGAAGCAGGTGGATCACAAGTTCAAGACCAATGTGAGTAACTTAGCAACGTACCCAATACCTTGTATCAAAAATTTTAAAAAATGTCCTTGAGTTGCAGCTCGTTGTAAGGGCCCTGGTTTAGATCCCAAGTACTGACAAAAATGTTTAATACAGCAGCAGATTTAATGTAAGTGTGAATATTCATTATTAACCATACATTTTTTTCCTGCCAAAGCAATCAAAATATGGAGAATCATGTATTCCAAAGGCATTATAGAGACTGATTCATTTATACAGAGTAAATTCATATTTGTGGAGTCCATGCCCATGAATTTACCCAGTCACTGACATTTGTTAGTCAAAAAGCAATTCTTACATTTCCAGTCATGTGCAGACATGTTCAGAACCACAAAAACTTTGAATCAGTATTTATCTTCCCAACTGAGGCTGTTTCAGGCCTCATATTGCACACAAGTATCTATTTTACAGTCTATTTAGTGTGACTTTTGTTCTCTTCTTGGTGTTTTTATTATTTAAAATGGACCCTAAAAATATTGATGAATTACTATTTGATTTTTATGTATATTAAGTATGGATTTGGACAAAATGCTCGTGCAAGTAACTTCACTCAGGCATTAGTTATACTGATGTTGACTGTCAGCTCAGTGTGCAGGAATCACCAACATGTATATCCAGAAAAAGGGCGTAGGAAATTTGTTGATTTGTACAGGGAACATCTCCATAAAACAAGCAATAACTATTGTGAATGATAAACCCAGAAAATGCTAGAACAAATTTTTAAAAAGCTGCTAAAATTCTGGATTCATGAAATAAAAAAACTATAAGCATGCAATGACAGTACTAGTGTGAGGTTGGAAGCCAAAAAGTTATATGCAATCATGTTAAAAAAGGTCAGGAAATTGCTAAATTCTTGGTCACTGCTGATTGGCTTCCAGTCCACACAATGAGGGAAATGTGTAACTTACAGGTTTAATAATCAGGGTGAGAAATGCAGACTGGAGACTTAAGAAAAATTTTAAATGCTTAATAAATATATAGAAGGAGTAGGCGGAGAACAGATTTTCACTGCTGATTAGATTAAATTGTTTTATAAGGACATCGTAAAATTGGTAGAAATCTAACCTTGTTTTTTCTGCTAGGTGCAATCGTTCAGTATTTCAAAATTCAGTGCCTGGGACATTTAGGACTTAAATACCATGGAAGAGAAGAGCTGATTACATCCTCAGGTACTACCAGATTTACTAAAAAATAGAAACAGTAATTCTTCCCTCAGTACTGTGACATTTAAAGGATGAGCTGGGTAATAGGAAAAAAGGAGATAGATCTTTTGCAAAAGCGAAAGAGATCAAGTGATGAAGGGAGGGCAGAAGGAGAGGACAAGGTGATAAAAATAATTAAGTGTGCTGTGTACAGTGTACCAACTTTTCACAATGAATATAATCATTATGCACCACAAGCATGTACTAATAAAGATAAAAATTTTAAAAAGGATGAGAGCTTTGTAGTTTATCATAATCTAGTATGACAAGGAGAGTTTTGTTTTCTTATTTTTATGTTTTTTATCTTTTTACTTTGGTACTGGGGATTGAACGCAGGACCTTGCACTTGTGAGGCTGACCACTGAGCTAAATCCCTGGCCTTAGAGTTTGTTTTTTAAACAGATATTTCCTTGCTACTACTTAAAAAAATTATTGCTAAATTTATCTTTCATGCTGTGGGTTCTAATTTAATATAGTTATATTAATCTTATTATATTTGTGTCCTTAGTCATATAAGTTATTGTTTGCCAAAAATGCCAAATGGCGGCCGGGAAAAGGTCTGAGATGCCATTTCTCTATCCTGAACTGCTAACTGATGACATATATATAGCTCTGGTACTGAAAGTAACACCATGATTGCGCCCTTACACTTCTCAGCATTGTACTGGGAAGAAATATCATTAGCTAGGATTATTTTGATACTACTCATGATGCTTTCTACCTTTACATTGATAAATGTGTTAGTCATTACCTTAAGAAACAGTAAATTCACATAAACCATCTTTAGGAAAGAAATTCCAGTTGACATTTATTCTGAAAAGCAGTTTGTATTTGTTGATGTGATTGGTGTTGTACCAAGTTAAGCTCCTAATGCCTCTATATACTAACTCTATTCCAATTTGCTGGAGCATTTACTGACTTGATATCATGTGTGTCCATGTGTGGTGAGAAGACAAGGTGAATGTGCATTCAAATTAACCTATGGTGGATGTACTTTAAATGGCATTGGTAGCTTTGCTTCCAGTATAGTCTTTTCTTATCATTTATTGTATCACAGCCTCTTTCTTTCCTTTCTTTCTTTCTCTCTCTCCCTTTCTTTCTTTCTTCTTCCATTTGTTTCTTTTGTACTATCTTAACATTTTATTTTTTTTAATTCATTAATTTTATTGTTATATTTTAGGTATACAATATGCTGACATTCCTTATTGGAAATTTGTACCTTTAGAGAATATAACTTGGTTATTTATTTTCTTCTTCCATTTTTTCACAAGGTCTCACTATATAGTTCAAGGTAGATTTGTTTTGTTTTTTTATTTTTATTTTTATTTTTTTGGTACCGGGGATTGAATTCGGGTCCTTCCGCTTGCAAGGCAGGCCACCAAACCGCTGAGCTACATCCCTGGCCCTCAAGGTAGATTTGAATTCACTGTGTAGCTAAGACTGGCCTCAAAATTGTGGCAATCCTCCTGCCTCAGCATTTCTTTGCCTATTCCCTTCTTTTTAGACAATTACCTTGTTTTTTAACATAGATGTTAGCCCCGAAGACATTGTAATGGTAATATCTTTCTTAGTTTTACATTTCTCAGATCATTACCTTTCCTCACATGCCTCCTTCAATGTTTTGAGCCCCACCATAGCCCATAACCAAATTACCAACACATACATAATGAAATATATAACTATGTCACTATAGAGATATAGGTTGCTTTTCTCTTCAGTGTTTGTTGTTTGATATAATAATACAACATTCAAATACCTTCGCTATTTTATAATTTTGCCATACAGAGAATGCAATGATATAATTTGACAGTTGTGAATTCAAGCCATAAGTGGCCTCAACTATAAAAATAAGACTTCAATTAATCATAAATTATGTGAAATTAAAAAGGTGCACAGACTTAAATATCATATGGCTCTCTTGTATGTGAATCCAAAATTATAAATATTAAGAGCAAAATAAAAGAAAGATAATATGGAGTAGGGAGATAGAACTTTCTCAAAGAGGGAGGTGATCAAAAGACAGGGAAGTTGGGAGTAGGGGCGGGGATGAGAAGGAAACAAGATGTGCTATGTACATGTACCGTCTCCACACAAAGTATGCGATCATTAGACACTGCAAACACGAACTAATAAAATGGTTATCTACTAGACATGATAGCTTGGGAGAGGAATTTTAAAGCAAAGGAGGGGAATAAGAGCAAGAGTAAGAAATGCATTTTATAGGCAAGTAAATTTAGGAAGATCCTAAAGACTAACCTGATTTATCGAAACTACCACTGAAGAAAGTGATAAAAGGATGATATATTTTCCTGTGAAAAAAATCAGAATTCAAAAGTAAAGTGTTATAAAGTTGAAATAATGCCATTTGACTACATCTTAGTACTTTCTTACCCCGCTCTCTCCAGTTTTACCTTGTCCGTCAAATTATTATAAGAATTTTCCCAAAATATCAAGTTTATTAGTTTTCTTTAATATTAGAATAGTGCAAACTGTTCAGTATGTCACTATTTGACTCAATTTCATGTAAAGAAGACCAAAAATTAATTCAGCGATTTAGGATTTAGAGATATATTGAATTAAGTCACATCATAACAAGCTATAGGTCAAATGTCCCTTTTTTGTTTAATTAGCAGTTTTATGTCATTGTCTTATATTGGTTAGAATCTAAATGTTTTACAAAAATATAGTTTTAAACTCTTATCTTTCTAAAATAAGGAAAGAACAGAGATCATAGTAATAAAAAATATTGAATTTTAATGGATAGATCTGCGCATAAGCATGACTCAGATGATTCATTAAGGAAATGTTCTAGTATCATACTTAGAATAATCTAAATAAAGTCTTGGTTTCTAGTTTTGTAACAGGTATTTTTCAGTACATCCCCTTAAGAAACAACATATTAGTCTCTTCAACAAATTGGAACAGAACAATCTTAATTTTTATCGTTTTACTTGTATATAAATCTCCATAAATCAACTGTAATCGAGGGGTTTTTGTTTTGTTTTACTTAATTTTAGAGAAATTTAGTTGAATTATGCAGAATTCAAACATAATTAATCAAATTCATTTCTATATATTCTCTCCATGGCCTTCTTCTGACCTGTCCTCTGGTGTCCCTGGAGACCTCGGCGAAGAAGTTCAGCCAAGAGACATTAACTGCCCAGGAGGAGGGGGTCGGGAACAGTGTAACTAGTTACTGTGTCAGGAAAATCACCAGGAGAAAGCTGTTGTCTATAAACCTAGAATCTAGGAAAAAAGCAATTGAACAAGATATTATTCAGGTAAATTCCAGATTTGAAGCGAGGACAGAGAAATGCAGACTACTGGGCACACAATGTGAAAAAATAATCAGCAGGTGGTAGGTTCCTTATGCAATATACAAAATAATAGTGACTACAAATTAGATGTCAATCTGCCCCCCCAATTCAATATAATGGCAGCTAATAAGTTAACACAATGGTTGAATGTTAGGAAAATATGATATATCCCTAACTGAATTAGAACAAACAAAGATATCTAGGAAACTTTACACTTTTGGAGACTGGTTACCAGGAAAAATTACTATGAAAATAGAACTCTGGTTTTCAATGTTTATATTTGAAGAATAATTTTACTACTACAAGCATAAGTTCTAAACTATCAAGAATAGTAAACTTGTTTATCATGTATATATATTTACAACTCATTAAAAACTTTTTTTGGCAAAGTGACTGGTCATTTTCTAAATATTTTCAGAGTGTGAGAATTAGAACTTCATGATTCTTTATGGAATTAAAAAAAGATATTTAAAACGATTTTTGATAGTGAGTCTTTCTCTATTTGCATTCAAATTTTCAGTTTAATAGATGTACAGAGGTAATTCTAATCATTTTAGGCATCTGGGAGTTATGTCCATAAATACTGGTAGCTTCTTAGAGCCGTCTCCTTAACTCAAGGAAAAGCAGCTCTGTCAGTTCTAAATTCTGCTTCTTTTTTTTTTGAGACAGAGTCTCACTATGTAGTCGAGACTGACCTGGAACTCACTATGTAGCCCAGGCTGGTCTCGAACTCACAGCGATCCTCCTGCCTTGGCCTCCCAAGTGCTGGGATTATAGGCATGCGCCACCACACCCGGCCTAAATTCTCCTTCTCTTCTAACATTGGTGACGGGCAAATGTGTTAAAATGTAGAAACTAATATCATCAACGAGAGAGAGAGAGAGAGAGAGAGACAGAGAGAATTAAATCCTAATTCACCTCTTCTAATTTAAAAAGTGTTAGAGTGAAACATGGGAAAGAATAAAAACAGTTCAAAATCAGGTTAAATATATTTGTGAAAAGTTCTAGACCTTGGAAAGAATTCTCTTCCTTTCAATGTCAAGTACTCTGTCACTTGGCCTTTTATGTCATATATTTCCACAGAACCTGGCTGCTGTAAAAAATATGAAACCCATATTTACTTTCTCTGTTACATTTTTTTCTTTTCTTAAAGACAAAAATCATATTAAGTTTCATATCTATCTTCTACCATAAATCTTCTATCATTTCATATCTTCTATCATAAAACCCAAGGCAAAAAAAAAAAAACCTTGGAATTTGAAGCTTTATATCAGAAATCATAGTTTTGAATTGAACTTATTTTTTCAGAGGGGAAATCTTACCTATTTAACATAATATTTTTTTTGCTATTTTATTTATTTAGTTATTTTTATTTATTTATTTTGGTACCGGAGATTAAACTTGGGACCTTGCACTTGTGAGGCAGATGGTGGAACAACTGGACTAAAATCCCTGGTCCTCTTTTTGGTATTTTAGGCCAATGACTAAATATTATTTATGCATAGCTATTTTTTACTTGATATGTATATAATAATTATAATTTTATTTACTTAAATGTTATGAATAAAAGCATTTTCAAAATTTACCTGTATTACTTCCTCTTTATTTTGTAATTATTTAAAATATTTAATAATTCAAAAATTCTAGTAA